GTTTTTGAGGTTCTGAAAAGAGCATTTCATTGCATGAACTAAGTAGCTTTGATTTTTCTCACATTTTTAACCTTTAGTTAAATAACTCCTTCAGTTTTTATTTGATTTTATTTAGTTACTATCCATTGTTTGGCAACGCTAAACAGGAGCAAGCAGAGGTTGCATGAGCGCGCTGACAGGTTAAAAACTCGATATATCGCCCAGCCCTAAACAGCTGTAATCTCCCACTGCCAGGCACAGGCAACACCACAAACTGTGACTACCTCCTTCTTTCCACCACATACAAACACAAGACAGTCTAGAACGTTTTTGTGTCACAGAAAAAGCTAAAAATTCAAACTTCATCTCAGTAAAAATATAAAAAGGTAAGCTTGCTTTTGCTTTCCTGAGAAACTCCAAAGCTCTTCTGAGTATTTTCATGTTGAACACACGATGGAATCAACCTGTGAGCCTGTGTGTGTCATGCATCTGTTCAACATGTCCGTGTGTTAGCCTGTTAGCTCAACATGCTAAAGTCATGCCTCTGTCACCCCTGTTGAATTATTAAACGGAGGAAGCAGCAGTGTCATGAGAAAGTGGTACTTAGAGAGCTGGAAATGCTTTGTTCAAACTAATATTTAAGAATAAATCGATGAAACAATCATTTTTTCTGCACCTCAATAACCCCTGTGGAACATAAATAGCTTTTAATTGATTAACTGGAATCCCTAAAGTTTGATACTCATGACATCACTGTCCATCCTCCTTCTCTATAACTCCTATCAGGTATCAGGTATCATTATGACCCTGAACACCCACCTATTGGTGCTCTTCTTCAGGCTCTCGATGTCCAGCTTGCGGAAAAGGAAGCCCTCGTGGTGTGCCGTATGCGTGGGCGGTTGGGGGACGATCGGGCCGCTCTGGGCTGGTGCAGATCTGGACCGCCGCGTCGTTTCCCCGGGCTCTTTGGGTCGTGGCCGGCGTCGTGGTTTGGGTCTGTCCCGAGCTCGAGGGCGGTCGGGACGGGAAGACTTTTCTGGTATCCCGTTAGGCAGTCGGGGCACCTCACCGCGGGCCTAAGGGTCGGGAGAGGCGATGAAGAAAAACTTTATTACTTATCCCAGTTTTCTCTTTTTAGGAAGTTTAGTCAAAACTTAGAATTAACCCCTAAATGCCCCCAAATATCACACTTTATTTATAAAGACTAAACCCAGACCTGCGCTGCTTCTCTTTCTTGTAGCTGCTCTACGATCTCTGCCATGGTGGACCTCTTGTCTCTGTGGAAAAATACCTACTGTTCACATCACAATTGATTCAACTCCCAAAACTGACTACAATAACATTCACTTCTTTTCTGCATAAATATCCACATCCAGATTAAAATGCACTGCAGTACTCAAAGTCTCACCCTCCTGCTGAGCGTCTGTCCGATTGCTCCTTCCCTGTGTCGTGCTCACTGGATTCCTGTCTCTCCAGCCGGTGCCTGTCCCTCTCTCTCCGCCGGCCCTCGTGGCCCCCGTGACCTTCTTGTTCGCTGGAAGTTTGCCTCTCCAACGTCCGTCTCTCCCGCCTCCCAGCGTGTTCCCTCCACACCTCTTGAGGCAGCTCATCCCTGCGCGCCTGGATTAGCTGCTCGCTGGACAGCTGCCGTTCTATCCTGTGGTGATAAGTGTGCGTCTGGCCCTGAGGCTCAGCGTGGCCCAAAGGGTCAGTCCTGGATCCTCGAGGCCCTCTGGTGGGCTCGCTGTGCAGACGCTCCCGGCTCGGCTCCTGAAGCACCACCTCGGCCATCACTGCTACCTCTGCTCTCTCTGTCCCCATCATCATATCTCTCTCCCTCCCCCGCTCTCTTGCCTTCTCCAGCCGGCTGGCCACAATCAGAGGCGTCACAGCATCATCTAAGTGTTTGATTTTGGGTTGCCGGAGATACGGGGAGGATTTTGCCTCAATTTCCCTCGCCGCTTGTGCCGGATGCAGGTGACTCATCACCTTTGCTGTCTGTTCCCTTGCTGTGCTGGCACTTTCTCGTGCCTGGTTGGCTGACACTAGCATCGCTGCTGTGGCTATAGATGCAATCGAGGATGCAGCCGGGCGGCCTAGACCTGCAGCCACACCCACTACGCCTCCATCCCGGACATCCAGAGTGTTTCGGTAGCTGGAACCGTTCATCACAGGGGTGTAGTTGGCGACTGTTGATCCCAGGCGCCGAGCTGCAGATGACGGAGAAGGCGTTGGGGTGGCTGGCGAGGGAGACGGAGGGGAGCTGGCTTCGTTCTGTTCATATATAGTCTGCCTCATGACGGGGGAGACTGGGAGGCGGGGGAGAGTGGGTGGACTATGTGAGGCATCTTGGGGATCCAGGAAGACTTTACGACCCAGGAGGGGAGTTGGGGGCAGTTTACTTTGCTCTGCTTTTAGCTTTTCTACCTGCAGAAAGAAAACAGAACCAAGTCTTCATCAACAATTTGAGCATGTTTGGAACGTGCTACTGATTTTGTCTAAACTGAGGACATATTTGCACAGTGAGGATGATGATAATACCGTGGTGAGCCGCCGCAGTGAGCTGAATCGCTCTTCCCAGGTGGCAGCTGCTTTGCGGAAGGCTTCATGTCGACGAATCAGCTGTTCCACCTCATCTACGCTCCCTCCAAGCTCGTTGCTGTTGATAAACGGCTCCTGAGCAGTCAGCCATGCCTCTGCCACCACCGCCTCCTGGGCAAACTGGTGAACCTCCAACACTGCAAACAGGACAAATAAGAACATTAAAAAAAGAGAGAAAGGATCTTAATTTACTTCAAAATGCCAGATTCCTGCACATCCCTGTCTTTTTTACTTTTTAAGCCATTGCACCCACTCACATTGCTGCAGGACTTCCCAGTGCTTGTCCCACTTCTCAGACAGCTCACGCTCCTTAGCGATCACTTTGTCCAGCTTCTCTTTGATCTGAGAATAAAGATATCACAATTACATCATGGGTCTGTTTAGCTCTAGGGATGCTCAGAAAAAATTTAAATATTATAAGGAATCAATTCCTTCTCAAACATAAAATATAAAACATTTCTTAACATGGATCTCTAAAGTTTTCTGTCATGCATATACTGTCACATGGGTGCAGTGAGATCAGTGTAATCATTAAGAGGAAAAAGCTCAGGCTTCATTTGGTTTTCCACACTTAGTTTCATTGTATAGCAGGCACGTCCTTGCTGGTCAAACCTTCTGTTTGCAAGAGGCAGCCAATTAGAACAATTTTTCCTTAAAGGGGGAGGAGCTATAACAGAGATACAGGATGAATTGAGAAGCTGCACCAAGCCCCAGCACGAAAAACAAGGGTGATTTTAGTGAATCATGTAAAGCCCCTCTAGTAGAGCCTAAAACTAGCAATATGACTCTGCAGACAAGGCTAATCGACTCGTGAGCCCACTCAACCAGAGTCTTCAAAGTTATAAACAAACTGAGGTTTAGATATCCGTGTTTAAATTGGATCATGTTTTCTCATCTCACCTCTTCAGCTGCAGGGTTTCTAGCCGCCAGCAGGGTTTTTCCCATTTCAATACACTCCAGGATGCTCTGACTGCGAGCTTCTACTTCACTCTTAAGACTCTGGTGATAGTTCATCAGCACCTCTACCGAGGACACGTCCCTGCAGGAACCACACAGAACCTGAACTCACTGAAGACTTTCACTATGCCCACGAATGCTGACTATCACATGTTATTATAAGGAACCATAAAAAGCAAAAGGATATTTCATATGTACATTTTTTAAAAAGAAAATAAACGAGTTTGATCGTAAACAGTGCATGTGGTGAACAGATATTGCCATTTGCATATGTAGAAGGTATTGTAGATACCTGGGCTTCTCTCCTGTCCCTATCTGACAGATGATCGAGTCCATCCACATGATCTGATCTCGGACCATGCCGAAGAACCTCAGCTTGTCAGTCTCTGTGGTGATCTGCACACGACACTCTTCGCAGGACGTTAGCAGCTCTTTCCAGCACTGCATCACTTCGTGCTCACGGCACGCGATGGCTTCGACCTTCTCGCCAGCGTACACCGTCCTCAGCTGGGCTGCGCTCTCTTGCAGCTGACGCACCTGGCAGAGCGTGAAGGGAAGCTTTAGTAAACAGCTCAACTGAACAGGGAAGAAACAGAATCGGAAAAAAGGAAAGAGAGAGTTTGTTTTCCGAGTGACGCACGAAACACAGCTGCCAAGACAGCTGTGTTTCGTCAGGGCCAAGTGGTACAGGCTCTGTCACCCGAGTAGGCACAGAACATCTGTGCTTTTGCATCTTTCTTGAGTAAAATGTAGCACTGTTCCTGCTGCCCAGGTGCACAACAGAGACTAGATCAAGCTAAATTAAATGCAGAGTAAGAAGATGGTGTTGCCATGAAAATGGCAGACTCACAAAGAACTAAAAACTTTACTATCCAATGAAATAGATTTTATGTCAATTTGATTTAATATAAACAAATTCACATAATTTAGTTCAGTTCAGTGTTTTCTATTGGTTATAAAAATGCATTAAAGTCTATAATTTCTGGATTCAGTTTCTGATATACTGATATTCTTTACTTTTTAAATCCACATGGGGGCACTGCACCAATTAGGATTACTCAGTTAGCCAGGTAACTTCTAAAACAGCATGCAAAAAATGATTTACACTTTTGTAATCAATATTAACAGTCAATGCTAATGATTAATTCATTTTTTTTCAAATTCCAGATGTTATTCCTTTCACATTTAAACTGTTTGCAGTCAGTAGCACAACTGTCACGGGCTGCCGGGGCAGACCATGTGGAGAGAGTAGAGGCAGACAGAGGCGAGGAGACAAAATCTGGACATAACGAAAAGCAAGCCTTTATTTAGGGCTGAAAACTCACGAAAATACAACAAGGCTAAAGTGAGGAAAAACTTGAACATAACCTGGGAAACTATGACTCTCACTGTGACTTTATACTATGACGAGACAAGATAACAACTATGACTTGACTGGGAAACTGTGACAACGGGTAGGGAAGGTAACACAGACGATGCGACAATGAACAAAGGGAGACAGAGGACTTTAATACACACATGAGGTGATCAGGGGAAGAGGAGACACACGAGGACACAGTTGACTAGAATGAGACATAATGACAAAGGGGAGAGTAAAACTAAACGTAAGGAACCAAGAACACAAGACTCTTTCAAAATAAAACAGGAAACATGTGGACATGACATGAGCAACATGAAAACACACAGACAGAAAATACATGACACAGAAAACTGGGACAGACTCATAACTAAGGACCTAAACTATACTGCAACTCAAGACAATAACAAAGCTAAGACTTAACAGAATTTCAGAATTTCATGAACAGAGCACAATGTAAACATAAGAAAACAATACAAAAATAAGACAAAACACTGGTTCAGAGACCCAGCCCCTCACAGCTACTCGCCATATTGCATCTGTTATGGAATTACAAATAAAAAAATCACTAAATAAGTTTCTATAAAGATTCCTGCAGACCAAATATAGATAATATCAATCGTCTTCCTTTAAGTCTCCTTTAATTTTTCCTTAAATGAAGATTAGAGGAGGTTCTGCTGATCGATGTGCAGCTGTACCTGTGTGACAAGCAGCTGAATGTCCTGCTCGAAGGTGTGCAGGAGTCTCTGCAGGGTGCTGGTGTTGGAAGTGCTGCCCTGCCGAGCCCGAACCTCTGGCAACCTTCGATGTTTGTCATCAATCTGGGCTAAAACCTGAAAAAAGGCAGTGGAGAAATGTTGCCTGTTTGTAGGGAAAAATAGGATAAATATAGAGAATAAATGTGGTGCAGCTTTGGGGAAAGTGTAACCAGAGACTTTATGTACCTACCACGACACCACCAACTTGTTTTAGATTCATCCGAGTCAGAAATCACAACATTTGGATGAGAGCGTGGCATGCTGAGAAATGCTAAAATTCTGCACACATAACACCTTTTGCAAGGCTGAAACAGTGATTGTGTTGCTTAAATAAAAAGGGCAGAAATGCGCTATCGGCACCTGATTTACATTTTTTCTATTTTCTTTCTTTTTCAAGCTGTTCTCATCACGAAGGCCGATGTACACTGTGGTGACCCGACATACAAGAAGATAAAAGTGTGAAATTAAATTAAATGGATCTGCTCTTTATCATATCCTGCATTATATGTGTGTGTGCGTCCTTTCGTTTAATTTGTGGCCCGTCTCCTTGGCTTTGCTCCTCTTACCTCTCTGCAGTCGAAGAAGAACTTGTGCAGCTGGTGTGAAGCAGCGAGCATCTGACCGCGGGTCTCCATGAGCTCCAGCAGGTCGGCCCAGGCTTCGTTCACTCCGTCCTTCCATTCGGCGATGGTGGCTGCTTCTGAGTGGCCGTAGTCGATGAGCTCATCCACCATCTGATTGACGGCTGTCACTCGCTCCTGGCCCACGCTGCCCGTTTCTGACGCAAACTCTGTAAACTTCTCCTGTAAGACCTGGAAGTGTGGCAGGGTCTTTATTGTTATTCACCAAACAATCGTTATTCTTTGTAAGTTTTATTTACTGCAGCAAATCGATCTGCTAATTTTAATGCATTCATTCATTCAGTAGTCATTCAAGTCCTATTAAAGAACATAATTAGACATTACAATCAAATGAGATTTGAGATTTTACTTGTAATATTTAAATTTCAGGTAATAAAATCTGTTACCTGAATCTATTATTCATGCGCAGATGCCATCTGTCGACACACTTACTGTGACATGCTCATAGTCTTGACCCAGTTCAGGCGAGCTGGCGACCACCTCCCTCTGAGCGATCCACTGCTCCAACTCATCCACCTCCCTGTTGAGCTGGTACAGCCAGTACTGCTGCTCCAGACGGCTCTTCCTCTCCTCCACCAGGTCCTTCAGAGACACGTACAGACGGTCTATCTGTGACTGACGCTTGCTGATCTGTTCGCTGTGGGAGAGAGGAGGAAGAGTGTAAGGTAAGGCACAAAAAAGCTCGAGAGACAGACATCCCTTCTACTTTCACGATTAGGATTTAAACTTTCCTTTCGGATTATTTATGGATCAGGATCTCGCCATCAGTTAGTGCTTCCCCACTCTCCTCTTTTTCTTTCCCCACGTGGTTTTATTCCATTACTGCAAGTCATTAACGTCTACTTTCTGCTGATTGTGTTCTGTCTTTTCTCTGCTTTCCTCTCACACCTCCACACGGTGGCAGCAGACGACTGCCCCCGAGCCTCCTCCTTCCTGTTACAACAGAAATCTTTCTCCCCTTCATCAGAGACGATCGTTTTAAGGTTGGTTTTCTTTCTCAAGTTTCTTTACCTCATAACACAAAGCTCTTGTTGTGAAATACTGCTATACAAATACAACTGAAGTGAATGATGAAAAACCTTTTATAATCCAGAGATTCGGTGCTTTTCTGCATTTAAGATGTTGTGACAGAAATTTCTGTCAGATTTTGTGGACGTGTTTAACTCCTCACCAGTCTGGATGTCCCATCTCCAGCAGCTGCCGGCACTGCTGTGAAAGCAGGCCGATGGTCTCAGCGTAGTCTTCGATGGTCTGTTCTAGGACCAAATGCTTCTTCAGCAGCTGCAGCGTGCTCTGCTCGTCCTGGCAGGAGGAGGAAGCGACACACAAAAAATGACACTTTAATTGCAGTATACACACACACAGAATAAAACTGCATGTAAAAAATCCTGCTCACATTAGGGTCCAACAGACACAGTATCACATATTCATATGACAATCGCATATTCTGCAGAGAACTGTGCATGTAAGACGGCTCCTGTGATTTTAAAGAGTTTTTTTTTACTTCAATAATAAATATTTCAGACAAATTTTACCTTTCCCTTCTCCTCATTCATCATGTGCAACTCCTGCTCACTCAGCCAGGCCTCGACCTCGGCCGTATCGAAGTAGTACTGCTGGGCCTGGTACATGGCATCCAGGACCAGCTGCCTCCTCTCAGTCTCGGCCCAAAGCAGAGCCCACAGCTGGGACAGCTGGTCGTGACCTGCCCTGATGCAGTCTGCCTCAGGGCTGCGTATGGAGCCAATGATCCCCGCCCTCTCCAGAACATCATCAATTCTGCTCCTGTGGCTCTGCAGCTCCCTCTGAAGATTCTACAGCACAGGCAGAAAGAGCTATTTAGATGTTGAGAGTGTAAACAGATGGATCAGAACTCAGACGCTGGACATTATCTTTATCACAAGTCATCAGTTATTTAGTGACTTGAGCTCTGAGTTTAAAGCTTTAGGGTGCAGGGGGGTCTATCGTGAAGAGGAACGGGACCTCTGTTAAGGTTTCAGGCTAAGGCTACAGTTTAATTAGCGGCTATTCAGGTTTTCTTACCTGGTTCTTCTTCATTAGCTGCTGGACAGCCTGCAGAGTAGAGCCGTGCTCCTGAGACATGGCCATCGGGAGGCGTTCCTGGACCCACAACTTCAACCGCAACGGTATGAGGAAAAGAAATGAATGTTTGTACATGTATGAATATGTGAACATGCATGTCCACACCTCATGTACAGATTAAAGAGAAGCCTGGTATATTTCGCCTCAACTACAAATAGATAAAAAAGTAACAATAACAAAATGACAACATGCAATAACACGACTCCTGTGTTTTGTGTAGTGAGTGTGAAGTGGTTGTGTCGTCAGCTCACAATCTCATCCTCCAGGTCTCGCCCAACTTGATGAACTTCCTTGGACGCCAGCAGGATGCGTCGCCTCTCCTTCAGCGGCTCGATCAAACGCACCATCCTGGCCTCCACGGCGGCCTGTCGCTCCGCAACCGTCTCCTTGACCTGCGTCTGCTGCGGGATGGAGGATGCCTGCACCTGAAGCTGCCCTACCTCCTGATACCATTCCTCCATCTGGGTCTCCAGGGTCTGAGGAGGAGGAAGAGGAGAGGGTGAGTGTAGTTACCGGGCAGAAGAAGCAGGAGAGAGGAGACAAGAGAAACTGGATGGAAGAAACATGTGAGAGAAGATAAAAATGACATGAGTGAGATGAAGAGTGTGGCAGAAAACAGAGAGTTTACATGATTTTAGTTTTTTCACTTAAATATAGTTGTTTTATTCCCTGCAATACTGATTTTATTTAACTTTTTAACTTACCATGTCTATAAAACATATTTTTAAAAAAATGAAATTTAGTAGATTTATATGTATTAAGCAACAGATGGCTAAGATGAGACTGAGGATAACCCAAAACAGCACAAGAACAGGTGGTTAACAGACATGAAGTGTAGTGAAGGTTACTGTACCCCTTGCCAGGATGGATGCTGGGTAGTGGAGTTATGATGATGTGGTAAAGCAGTGCTAATGGCGGCCTGTTAAAGGAAGCTGTAAGCGGCATGCTGTGGGAGAGGAGAGTGAGAGATGTCTGGTGAAATGATGAAGCAATGAACGGATGAATCTGTGCGTCAGCCCGGGTCGAACCTGCTGTATAAACGAGTTCCCGCCTTGGCCAAACCACCACAGCTGGAGGGCAAATTGAGAGTTACATCCCAAGATCACACGTTTACTGGCAGACGTAATGCAAGTGTGCCCAAATTTGGATTCTTTTATTGAGGTGACAGACCAAAAAAACGAAAGAAATGCATATTCATCAAACTAGTAACCCAGCTGTTTAAGAAGCTCAGGCTCCAGACTTTTCTAAACGCTCAGTTTTCTTTCACTCTTGGTTTTGTATGAGAGGGAATATCTCTAATATGGTTAACAGGTTGCTGCACCCATTTGCAG